GGGGAGGAGGAGGAGGAGGAGGAGGAGGAGGAGGAGGAGGAGCAGGAGACGGAGAGGGAGGAGGAGGAGGAGGAGGAGGAGGAGGAGGAGGGGAGAATAAGAGAGAGAGAGAGAGGGGCGGAGCGATGAGAAGGAATAGAGGGAACGACAAAAGGAGGATGAGGAGGAGGAGGAGGGGGACATAAAGCCGGTCTCGAACATATCAAAGCCTTGCGGGGCGATGCCGAATTGAAGCCCATATCTTACAGTTGGCAGCCAGCGTGGGTCCCAAACAGTGTGTTTCGAGCAATGTGTGTTGTACAATAGATGTTGTGCACTGTACGTGGTGATGCCCACGAGGTGCAATGTATGTCGTGCAAGCTACGTGTTGCAATCTGTGTTGTGCAACACGCGTCGGGAAATATATGTTATTCAATCTACGTAGACCAGTCTATGTTTTGAGCGGCCAATAGGCGTGACACAGGCGCGAAGCACAAGTCGTGCAATATATGTGCTGCAATTTATGTGTGGGGACACTCTGTGTAGTGCAAGCTCCGTGGTGAATGTGTGCTGTGTCATCGATGTGGTGCAATGAATTTCTGTTCGCAGTGAGTTGTTGACTCCAGTGCTCGCGCAATCATCCCACCCACCCGCCCACAACTTGGCTTGCATACGTCCATGCGGCTGCGATTGCGATGAGTGCTTGGTGTTGGCTGGTGCATCTCTGCGGCCGCGCATGCTCGCGCGTGCGGCCAGCTAGTTTCGCGTGACCGACGCGGCCGCGGTGGTGCTGACCGCTGGGCATTTTCCAGCGGGCAGTTCAGTGCGAGTCGGCGACTTGGGCGGGCGCAGTACCATGGCAACGTCGGCAAAAGTAGACACGAGGACGGTAGTAGCGGTGGTATTGACGATGATGACAACCACGACGACAAGGCCAGTGACGGCGCAGATGCTGATCACGCCGGCGACGATGACGGGGTCCCCGCGTGGGTGATGAAGGGGTTGGAAGGAATTCGACATGCGCGCGCGGCCGCCGCGCGAGAGTGGCCCACATGTGTTATTTGACGCGGACCGTGCCCCCCAGCACGCGCGCAAGGGCCTTCGAACGATCTCGACATGCGCTCGCGAGAGGCCCTTTGGTTGCATCTGATAATATCGTTGGGAAATCGAGGGGTGTGTTTTTTTTAAGCAAAAAACATCGCAGGCGCATCTTTTTTTACTACTTAAAACCATGCTGCAAAAACGTGACCTTAGGGCATATTCTCCAATCAGAGCTTGCCTCTCTAGGGGTCCTAGCGGATTCCTATGGTTAGGCGAGGTGTGCCACCGATTTCCGCGGCCCGCCCGGGTGCCCAGATGCCGACGTTCCCGGGTGCCTGGGGTCCTTGCAGCCCTATAGCCCTATAGCCCTATAGCCCTATAACCCCTTAGCCCTGTAACCTTGTAACCCTATAGCCCAACAGCCCTTTCGCCCTATAGCCTTATAGACTCATAGCCCTAGAGCCCTGGAGCCCTATAACCCTATAGCCCTATAGCCCGATAACCCAATAACCCTATAACCCTACAGCTATATATGCGTATCGCCTTATAGCCCCATAGCTCCGTATCCTTACTGCCCACTAGCCCTATGGTCCTATAGCCCTATAACCATAAGCCTATACCCCCACAGCCCCAGTTTCCCATAGCCCTATCGCCCTACAGCCCTATAGCCTTATGGCCCTCTTGCCCTATAGACCTGTAGCCGTATGGCCCTATAGCCCTATAGCTCCATAGCCTTATATTCCCCAGAACCCCATCGTCCTATAGCCCAATAGCCGAAAAGCCCCATAGTTTAAATCGATTATGGTTTGATTGTTATCCGGTATCCTGTTTTTTGTGTATACAATCATGTTGCAAAACCCATGATTCTATTATATGGTTTCTGGCCGCTCGATTGTTTGAACCCTTGCTGACATTCAAATACGTACTGGATTGTGGCATGCGCGCGGGACGACGCGCGCGCCTGCACACGTCGTCCCATTTAAAATACAGGATTGTTGCAACTGGCCAGTTCATGGTAAACGGGTGTGCGCGCATAGTGTTTTTTTCAAAGGATGGTGGTGGTGGGGGGTCGACACTGGCTTGATTGGGGTGGTACGGGCTCACATGTAAAATGAATGATGGGGCCGAGTCATACGTGAATTGCATATCCCCAAAGGGGTGTCAATACTTCCGGCCTGGGGAGGGGCGGTAGATCCTGAATCTGTAGAATATTGTTGCCGCAATCTGTGCTGTGCGCGACAGGCCCGTTTGGAATACTTTAATGGCAGCGCTGAAAGAATTCATTCGTGGTTGCGCAGGTTTTTTGTTGAAAACTCGCGTTGCTAAACAATTGCTTAAATTTGTTTTCGGGACACTCTTTTTTGAAATCCTGACGGAACCTAAGGTTTTTGAAGCATTTCAGTGTGCGCGCGCGACGACGCGCGCGCGCGTGCACTTCGCCCCGTTGTTTTGCAAGGCGTTCTTGCGACAGAACGCGCAGAATGCAAGGGATTCTTCGAATGATTGCGACATGCGCACGCGAAAGGCCAGTTTGGTAGCATGTTGTGACAATGTTGAAAACCGGATGGTTTTCTTAAGAATTCGCAAGAGAGCGGGCGCAAGTTTTTTTTGAAAGGCCTTGTTGCGAAACCATGTGTTTGTACATGCTTCCGAGACATTCGGCTTTGAAGTCAAAGGTTTGTGAAGGAATATGGCATGCGCGCGACGGCGCGCGCGTGTGCACTCCGTCTCGTTGTTTTCCAAGGGGTTCTTAAAACCTGGTTGTCTTCGTTAAACGAGTGCGTGCGCGGGGGGGGGGGGGGGCAATCCCGGCTTGCCTGGGATGGTGTGAACTCATCTTGGGGATGGACGAAGGGATATAATCATAGGTAAGTTGCTATACGCAACGGGGTACCCTTAACTCCGGGCGGAGGAAGGTTGTGCAACATATTTTTCTGTACGGTGCTTTATGTATGTATGTATGTATGTCTGTTTGTCTGTCTGTATGTATGTATGTATGTGTATACATACATACATATATATATATGGACGTGCGGTATACGTTGCGCAATCTATGTGGTGCAATTTGTGTTGCGCAATGCACCCTACCAACGTTGAAGTCGTTGACTCCACTGACTGCGCAATCATCTCACCCACCTGCCCGCAATTTGGTTTGCAAAACCCATGCAGCGGCGATTGCGATGACTGTTTGTCGCTGGCTGGCGAATCGCTGCGGCCGCGTTGGCGCGCGCAGGCCCGCGCGAAAGCGGCCATCCAGTCTGGCGCGACCGACGCGGCCATGGTGGCGCTGACCGCTGGGGATTCCCCAGCGCGTCTCGCAAGCCGCGCTGCCGCGCGAGCACTTCGGTGCGAGTCGGTGACCCGGGCGGGCGCGGTAGCACGGCGACAGCGACAGCTGCAGACACGATGATGCTCCGCCCCGCCCGCCCGTTTCAATGTTCTGCCCCCCCCCCAACCCGCCCGTGAGGGCCCCGCCCGCTCGCATGCGCGCAAGACCCCCCCCCCCCGCCAGCTTTGATGTCCCGCACGCCCCACTCGGCGGTCAGGGTTCCGCCCGACCCGCCCGGTAGGCCACAAGATCCCGCCCGCTCGAAAGCTTGAACTCTTCGCCCGCTCGATTTTGTATCCCGCGTGCCCGACCCGCCCGTTAGGGCACCGCCCGCCCGACCCGCCTGTCAGGGTCCCAGCTCCCGCCCACGATCGTCATCGTCGTCGCGGTCGTCGCCGTCGTCGCCGTCGCCGTCGTCGTCATCGTCGTGCTCGTCGTCGTGAGTGTCGTCGTCGGTCGTGTTCGTGGTCGTCGTAGTCGTCCGAGATTGTCGTTCGTCGTCGTCGTCGTCGTCGTCGTGCGTCGTCGTCGCCGTGCGTCGTCGTCGTCGTGCGTCGCCATCATCGTCGTCATCGTCGTCGTCGTCGCCATCGCCGTCGTCGTTGTCGGTGTCGCCATGGTTGTCATCGCCGTCGTCGTCGTCCTTGCCGTCCGCGTCGTCGCGTTCGTCGTCGCTTATCGGCGCGCCCAGATCTAAGAGATCCTCGACCCCGGTCCCTCCCCGACGGCCTGTTTTTCTTCGACCTAGTGCCCCCAGCTTCTCCGGCCCCCCCCACCCCCTCATCCTCCTGCTCCTCCTCCCGACCTCCTCGCCTCCTCCTTTCTTTTCATGCGCAGGCTGCCTCTCCTCCTCCTCCTCCTCCTCCTCCTCCTCCTCCTCCTCCTCCTCCTCCTCCTCCTCCTCGTAGCGTCAGCCTCGCCTCCTCCTCCTCCTCCTCCTCCTCCTCCTCCTCCTCCTCCTCCTCCTCCTGCTGGGGGCAGCGGTCCCTCCCGGCTCCATGCCTGACAAGCTCCGGGGCCGGAGAGCGGCCCCCGGAGCCGCCACGAGAAGGGAAGAGCGTCGGGCCTCGCGCGAGAGAGGGGCAGCAAACGAGACAGGAGCTTGCGCCTTCGAGGAACGAAAGGGGGGCGATGAAGGGAGCAGGAGGGAGGAGGAGATGGAGGAGGAGGAGGAGGAGGAGGAGGAGGAGGAGGAGGAGGAGGAGGAGGAGGAGGAGGAGGAGGGGGCGATGAGCAGGGAGACGCCGCGAGGGCTGCAGAGGAGAGTGCCCTCCCCGAGCGCCGAAGGGGACCCGCAGGGCCCCCCAACCCAAGGGGGGGCCCTCCAGGCCCGAGAAGTGCACCCTTTCCTTGACAGCGCTCGGACGTGTGCACGTTTCCTTCGGCGAGGACCATCGAGGAGCCTCCTTGATCATTGGGCGACAAAAGCCACGCACGAAGCCGAACAAGGCACAGGGCATGGGGCGAAAAAACCACGCACGAAGCCGAACAAGGCACAGGGCATGGACGTCCGAGCGATGGCCAGTCACCCCCCCCGTTAGTTCACGCGCAAGGGCGCCGGGCTTGAAGAGACGGATCCGCCCGAAGTCTGAGGCGGAAGGCATCGGCTCCGTCTTGAAGGTTTGGGAGCTGGGACCCTCCTCGCCCGGAGGCGCCAGAGCGGGCCGTGTTCACCTTCAAGATCGTGGACACGCTCACCGAGGAGACGAGCTTGCTCGGGCCTTCTTGGATCTTTCTTGGGGCCCTCCCCAGACCCTCTCGCGTTGAAGAAGTGGCGACGGGATCTGTTTAGCCATGTTAGGCCTCCGGAGGCCCTCGCCAAGCCACAGGGCCGTCAAAATTACCGCTCGGGGAGGCAAGCCGATCGTGGGGAAGGGGTCTAGACCTCCGGACGCCCGCGCTGTGACATGACAACAACTTCGGTGCTTCTTCTCCAGGGGTCCCCAGAGGAGTCTTGCAAAGGCCTCCGGGGGGCCTGTGGGGCAAGTGGTTGCCAAGAGCGGCCACAATCTATCCGCGATCTCTCTCCGTCTCCCCCGACCTCCGATGTTTTGATTTTTTCAATACGGGGTCCCCTTCCCTGAGGGCCAGGTTTTCGTCCATGATCGTTTGGTGACGGCCCCGGGATCCGAAAACGGCCCTCTGAGGCCCGAACTTGGCGACGCTGGCGCCGGCGTGTATGGCTGAGCGGCCGCTGGTGGCCAGCCCGTTTCGGGGTCCATGGCTGGCAAAGAAGCTTACGGTTGGAAATGCATGTGCAAGATAGGGTCGAGAATTTGCGGTGGTTCCCGAAAGCGATGAACGTTCAATGTCGAAAGGTAAGGCGATGACTCTAGTCATGGCCGACGAAGTCATTGCATGTTCCTGTAATCGCTGTACTGAGCGCAAGGAACCGTCGCACTCGACTGGCGTTTCTGTGGCAGTTTGCACAGCTTGAGGTTAACACCGGTCGCTGTCGCCACTGTCCGCATCGCCCGCTTGGCAACCGCAGCTTTGTTTTTGCCTCGGTGTCCGCGCGTGGGGGGTGGCCGTGTTGTGCGCGAGAGCGTGCGACCACGATTGGCTCGTGTCGGAAGACGTCGCAGCGTGCTGGCCGCGCGGCTCCTCGCCGACGCCTCGCGCCCAGCTTTCTGCAGGTGGCCACGGCCTCGGGCCAGGGTTAAGTCGGGCCTGTCCCTTTACAGGGGGGAAATTCAAAAACAGTTTTAGAAATAGTCAGGGGACGATTTGTCCAATCTTGTTTTGACTATTTTGGGGCAGTGTTTTAGTATCTCTTAATTTTTCGCCCGAAATCCGCATGTACGGGGACATGCTCGACCTAAGGCCAGGGCAGCGCCGCCACCCGCAGGGTGAGCGCCCACCACTGGGCGGCCCGGCCAGGAAAGCAGGGGAAGCGGGCTCCTCGGCGGGGAGGAGACTGCGTTTTTCAATCCTCTGGCGCGTAACGTTCGCTATATTATCGTTTGTCCGATTCCCATCCCCATCCCCATTTCCTTCGAGACCCCCATCCCTCGAAACCCGAAGGGAACGGCCTATATCCCCGTCTAGGGGTGTAAATCGGCCAGTGGGGCCAAGGCCACGCCGCTGGGGATGGGGATCGGATAAACGATACTCATATACGGCCCCCCTGGGCAAGGGTAGCGATCGTGCGCGGGGGGGTCTGACACTTTCTCCGTCGGCGGCGAGGCAGAGGCAGCCCGCTCCAGCGCGTGGCAGTTCGGGGCGACCGACTAGCAATTGGCCGGCAGCCGAACGAGGGACGAGGACGAGGATTGGAGGGTGAAAGTGGGGGTCGGGCGCAGGGTCCCGGCAATGGTGCTTTTATGGGCCATGAATGGGCGATACATCTTCGATTGCTGTGTCCGGCGGGGCTGCCAATTGAAGCTCCCCGCCTGCACCCATGCGCGAGACTTGAGGGGAAACGAAGCAAGGGGGCGGGGGGCCCGGGAAAGGCGACGAAGGCAACGTGCGCTGAGGGCGCAAAAAGACAAGGTTGAAATAAACGAAAGCGTTGACGTGAGTGTCAAAATTTGCCCAGCCAATCTGACATGCGGAACACTGCGCCTCAGTTTTGGGGATCTTGAAGCCAAGGCAAGATGTGAATTCACATAGTGGGGGAGAGCAACATGTGAATTCACATTTTGGGAAAAGGACAATGTGAATCCACATTTTGGGAAAAAGGAAAATGTGAATTCACATTTTGGAGCTTTGTGCAGGAATATGTGTGAAGGGGCCAGAATGTGAATTCACATTTCGGGAAAAAAAGAAAATCTGAATTCACAGGTTGGAAAAAAGGAAGATGTGAATTCACATCTTGAGAGAATCGCGGGACCCATTCCAAATCTGTCTTGGGGGTCGATAGCTCGTCGTTTGGGAACATGCGCGATCATCAATCGCACAATCAAGACACACTTGCACTCCACTTCGCAGCCCCACGCACAGTATGCAAAAACGCCCGCACGCATGAACGATAATGGATGGACGGCGCGTGTGCCCGCGCGGGCAACGCGCGGGCACGAACGGCTGGCCCTCCATGACCGCCAACATTGGATGCCAATCGTTCCCGATCACATACATGAGCGATACATTGAGCATACATGGGCCATTCAGTCCCCATTGAAGACCCCCTGTTGCAGACCCCCTCTTTCACCCTGACGGCCGCGCGGGGGGAGGAATAGGGGAACAAAAAGTGGCATAAACATAAAAACTCTGAGGTCCGCGCGAATTTCTCGGATCGGCGCTGGGGCCCCCCGGCGGCGCCTGCGGCGCCGCCCCTGGCGCGCTCCGCGTGCCAGGGAGGGGGGTCCAGCGCCGATCCGAGACATCCGCGCGGACCTCCGAGTTTTTATGTTTATGACACTTTTTGTTCCCCTAAACGTGCCCCACCCCGTCCAGGCGTTACCCAACACATGAAGTCGCACCCGAGCCTCAGCATGGTCAGCGGCTGTCTTTGGGTAGGCAGCTGCTGGGGATGCGCAATCGCGCCGGGGTGGCCAGCATGGCATCTGGTGGGCCTGCGCACAGCAGGCAATATGCCAGCATCCCCAACGTCCCTGTCAAAAAACCAGTGCAAATTAATCGCGGGGTGCCCGCGCATGATCCAGATGTTGCTGCTAAGTGCATGTTGTATTGTTATAGTGGCCCTGCGCACAGCAGGCAATATGCTGGCCTCCCCGCTGTCCCTGTCAAAAAAATACAAAGTGCTCGCGAGACCCCTGAGCATGACCAGTATTTGCTGCAGCGTGCACTTTACACTGCTTTTGACAAGGATGGCGGGTGGGGGATCGTCATTGGCATTGGTTTGTCGCTGGTCGTCTGGGGGAGGGGGTGTATATCAATAATGGACAGTGGTCAAGCTACCCCAAGCTACAAGCCGTGGCGCCCACTCCCACCCGCCTACCCCCCCAAAAGGGGAAGAGGGATGATGGAAGAGAAAACGCCTTAAACAACTCACGCCCAAAGGGCCGGTGGGACTCGTAAAATTATGCTTATTGTACTTATCATTGCGAAGGCCTTACGGCCAGTGCCACCGACCCTGTTCGTTAGGACGAGGAGGAGGAGCAGGAGGAGGAAGAGGAGGAGCAAGAGAAGCAAGAGGAGGACGATGAGCAGGAGGAGGAAGAGGATGCAAGAGGGAAGGGGGGAAACGGGGAAAGCAATATAGAGAGAGGGGGAGAGCAAGAAGGGGGTAAGGAAGGGGGGGAAGGTTGTGGGTGGAGAGATGCATGCGCTTGCTTGACAGCGTCGGTGCGCTCTCCAGCCAGGTGTCGCATGATCTTGGCGGGAGACGAAAAAGAGGGAGACAGCCAAACACTGCCGCGGTACAACTAGCTTGTGGCGTCTGGGGGGCAAGAGATCGAAAGGGAAAGGTTCTCCCATTTGTTTGTTTGTTTATTGTCGTCGTCCCCCCCCCTCCAGCAGCCCGGTCCCCCTTGTGGACAGGACGGGGGGGTCTCCCCCCCCATCGGGCCAGCCCCCGTTGTGGACAGGGGGGGCAGGAGAGAATCTCCCCTGTTCCTCCAGTGCCCCCCCTCTTCCCCAGGCCGGCGCCCACTGTGGACGGGGGGGCACATGGGAATCCCCCTTTGCCCCCCACTTGTGGACAGGGGAATCAGAGAAGTCCCCCCCCACACGAGCCGATCCCCCCAGTGGACAGGGGGGGGCGGGGGGGAATCCCTCTTGTCACCTGGCAGGCAGGAAGTCGAGAGGCGCTCCCCCCCGGGAGGGGTCGCAGACCCTGGGCCCCCCTCCTGAGACCACCCTTTAGGAAAGGGTGGCGGCGTTCTGTCCCCGGGACCCCCTGGCGGCCCGCGGGGGCAGGACCCAGGGGCAGAGTCGGCATGCTTATCGGCCCTGTGAGTCCTGACCCCCCAGCGTGTCTCGCCTCCTCTTGCGAGTCCCTGCCCCTTCCACCACGCCCTCCTCCATTCCTTTTCCTTATAAATAACTTCCCCCTGTCGCACCCCGAGGCCAGTTTTTGGGGCGGGCCGGGCGTTTCGCCTTAGACTTCTCACCACTCACGATTCTGAAGCTTAAAAAGTGGCAACTGCTTCACATATGGAGGGCGGGTGGTTTTCAAAATGTCGCTCTCGCCTTAGCGCCGCGCACATCGTTTAACCATTTGAAACAGTTTCACGGATTCAGGGCGGGTGGTTTTCCAAATGTGGCTCTCACATTATCGTTGCGCACATTCGTTGTTTTAAATTTGTACCAGTCTCACGGATTGAGGGCGGGTGGTTTTAAAGATGTGGCTCTCGCCTGAACGCCGCGCACATTCGTTTTAACCAATGCAAGAGTTTCGCGGGTTGAGGGCGATGGTTTTCAAAATGTGGCTGTCGCCTGAGCGCCGTGCACATTCGTTTTGAAAAACTGCAAGAGCTTCACGGATTCAGGGCGGATGGTTTTCAAAATTCGGCTCTCGCTTCAGCGCCGCGCACATTCGTTTTGAACATTTGCAAGAGCTTCGCGGATTGAGGGCGGGTGGTTTGCCAAATGTGGCTCTCGCCGTAGCGCCGCGCACATCCGTTTTATACATTTGCGAGAGTCTCACGGCTCCCCATGATCAGCGTACCAGAAACGGTGTTGTGGAAGGATTCAAGATTACGCGGGTCAACAGTTATGTTGATTCGCTGTGTTGAAGTCCCAAGAACGGTTTTCTGACACGATTCCGGATTGTCAAGACGCAGCAATCCGGTTGATCCG